ACACACACACACACACACACACACACACACACACACACACACACACACACACACACACACACACACACACACACACACACACACACACACACACACACACAGAGACATACAAGTATACACACTATATAAATACTAATTAGGAACACACATACAAATACCAGTTAGGAAAAAATCATGGCATCATACTAATGCTGTTAAAAATCAATAAGTGTGATGTATACAGCATCAATAACCATCAATGACAATATAGAGGTAAAAACAGGACCACAGGTTGATAGGTGAGATGTTACTTGCGTCATTTGTTACAGATCTTTAACTTTTGCAAGTTGTGATATAAGCACGACTTGCAAAGATTGAAGACCTGTGACAGAATGATGGCTGTCACTTTGTAATCCTATTTTTACTTCCATGCTTTAAAATAAGATACTGATGGCAGTTAGTTATATTGGTCTCCGAAGATAAAAAGAAAGATAGGCATAACTGTATCAATGTTATTCAAAAGTAAGAACACAATAAGCATAACTTCACGACCATCCCTCTCTAATAAGTGTATATTTCTGATAGAGACCATAGGGAACACCTGGTAACTTAAGAATCGAATGACATTAAATCATTGAAACCTTCCACGATTTCTGCCAATAATAAATGCTGGAATATCCCCAGTGCTATATACTCTTCATTCACTGTGCATCATCATTTTTGTCACATTTCATTTACTGAATTTCATGGAATACCCAACAATAATGGTAAGGATATGTTGTGTTTCAAATTCGAACTGGATGTTTTTCTGTATGGTATGGGAATGCTCAGCACCGTAATCAATTGTACTTTCATCATTTAAATGTTGAAGATCAGCAATCCATTTCATTCAATTATCTATCACTCAACTGGTAATTTACATTATTCAGTTGTCACTTCGTGTTTGTTGCTAAAAGTGTAAGTGAACTTACACGGTTAATATCACATAAGATGAAATTACTCAGCATAATATAAAGCTATCTTGTGTTCTTAGCTTTTGAAAGGGAAGCTCAATTGGATACCTAAAAAACTGCAAACCTTCGCTTTTCAAACAGTTAGCTTTTAAAAGCTTTAAACGAAACAAATGTATTTACACACTATCACCAGCATACGCAATACATACATCCGTATACAGGAATCACATCTATGCATAATCTTAGATATTACGCTTCTGCGCAACTTTTGCAGTTCATATTTGACAAAGAATTAGCAGGAATCTTTAAACCTTCTACAATACCTACAAACTTTGCGTAGACTCAGTGCAATCCAGAAAAACCGACGAGACCCTATTAGGGAAAGGTAGCTGGAGAATGACAATTCTCTGTGCGAGTTTTCCACATTCAATGATTACACTATTTATTCGCTTACCCAACTTTGTCGCATACCTTTGTTAACTCAGTGCAAATATACAGCGATTAATTTTAAAAATAGAAGACGCCATCTAACGTGCAGACTTTAAGCTCGCTGCAACGCTTGCAAAAACTACCACCAAAAACACTCCATTTATAACTTTTCACAGTTTCTGATTCTGTTGAAACTAGAGCTTCTAGTGATATGTTTACGTACTTTGACAAGAAACCAACAATTAGGGAAGAATTATATTTATATATTACCAGCTTAACTATAACGGTGAACACGAAATGTATAGCTCAAAATTCACATGAAATTTTTTTGTCGTTAGGTTACATTAAACATACAAAACATGAATGGGCAAACAAATATTCAAATGAAATTAGTATCAGAAAATCAAATTTCTGTTCTCCGATTCGCTACCGACTGACGCTGCCATTACATTTCATTACATACTGCCATTACGGTAAGAGATTACAGAGAAAACTAAAAACACGGGTGGACAAAAATCGAAGAAATGACAGATCAAAAGAAAAGAAATGAAGATCTGCACCGCGCGAACTAATTGAAACTCCTTTCTATTCTTGAACTATTTTAATTAAGCCGCTAAAGAAACAATATGGGTGTAAATTTTCACCTTCCTCCCTCAATTCTGAAGCTTACAACAAGAAAGCTCTAAATTCCAGGATTGCGGAAAGAGATTAATGAGCACTTCCACAATTAATATCAGGAAAAAAGTTCACTTCCTTTGCTTAGTTTACTAAACTCTGCATCTCATACCCGAACTTTTTGCTATATCTTCACTTAATATCTTTATTTTCTTTATTTTATAACCAGCACAGTGTTGCATCAGAAAAAAAATCTGAACAGAAATCACAAAACTTCTAGTGTTCAGTTTTGTATCATGTCAGAAAGATTTTATCCAACAGTGCTTAAGAAAATTTGTCCGACAGAAGAGGTGCAGTCGTCCTGCCGGTACAAAAGGCCTAATTCTTCTTTTATCTTTTCTCTTGAAAAATACTGTTTTAAAAAATTTTCTAGGTAAAATATAATCTTTGGAATAATGCTTGAGTTATGGCTAACTTGGTAGTAAAATACCGAGAGTTAAACATTTTTAAAGACTGGAATGAACGGAAAAGATTGAAATACAGCGGAATAAACTGAAACTCAACTGGGAAGGATCTATAAATTTTAACAGTCAAAACATCCCAAAGTGTTCTTATTCATATGTTGTATATACAACAAAAAAATTTCAAAAAATCTGCGAAAAGCTTTGAAGCAGAAATAATCGAAAAGCGATGATCTAAAACAGCTGATTCTGCACATACACTTAACACATATCAAATCTGTCTGCTTCCCGAAAACGTTATCCTTCTTGACCGAAATCTTTCGTAAATTGCATCAGTTTATCCAAATCTGCTTTATTTACTGTTGGTTTCGTGTTCATTAACGACCGTAGCATGTCACTCTAAATTTTAACGAAATTTACTGTTTAACCAAATATTATAATTACCTAGTAGTATATATATTATTATTAACATTGTAATTATCGAGGTCCGCTATTTCCGTTCTCTAATTTACAAATCTAAGAAACGAAATGAACATTTAACTCATTTCTACGACCCATCACCATGGATACTACTTTGAGAGGACGAGAAATTTAACAGCAAGAAAAATGTACCATTGAAAGAATTGGTTCAGCTAATTTGTCAGCGGGTACATCTATGAAGGACATTGCCATGGCACCTGGATCACCAGGAGAGCAAGGAGTTAGCAAATCATGTACAATAGCATTACAGTTTGAGGGTGATGGCCCAGAAACATGCTTGAAATGAGTTGCTGTTTGCACTTTACGAATTGGTTGCATCAGAGCTTCACGCACAACAATCGAAATATCGTATCCAGAAAACCCTTCGGTTTTTTCTGCAAGAGTCTGCAAACAGCAGAAAATATGAAAAAGCAAAAAGTTAAAACCTAGTACGAAAGTTAAGGATAATTATCCCTTAATAAGAACTAACGAAAGTCACAGTCCCAACTCACCAGCACTGATATATTTCCTTTTAATTTCTTCTTCAGGAAATATGATTGTTACGTGACTAAACTTTCATTTCCTAGAACCGAATAAAAAAAGGAACCTGAATAAAATTAGCACGAACCTTGAAATCCTGTTCCGTTAATGAATGTGGTGTATTTTTGCCGACATGCAATTTAAACATATCTTTCCTAGCGTTTGATTCTGGTAGCGGGATATAAATTCGTTTCTGCAAGGATAAAAATATCTACTATCAATTACTGAGCTTCCAATCTAAATCATAAGTGCAACAGAAAAATCGCCCAGTAAGTCATGATGTCATGATCTAATAAACCTTCAGAAGTTATTTGTGTATATATATATATATATATATATATATATATATATATATATATATATATATATATATACTACTAACTAAACTAAACTAACT